ATTGCATTCTGATTTTTATTGTCTTTGATGTTAGAAGTATGACAGCACGACAATTCTTTTGACTGATAAGATTTAGAAAAAAACACGAGTTTTGAATAGACATTAATATGAACCAAATGAGATGCAGATAGAAAATGCATCACTTAGAAAGCAATTCCACTAAAATTTGGTAATTATGTATTTGATGAAGGTTTGCTTTTTATCTTGAAGTTCTTACTGAGAAATCTTCTAGACGGTTTTCTACTTTTACTACCGTTTGATCTTCAATCTGGTTGTATTTCCATATTTTGCAAGGCTTTGATAGAACCTTTAGCCCACAAGAAGAGTTAATATAAAGAAATACATCAAAATATGGAATATTATTATCAATAATGAAAAGTAGCTTCTTAATATTCTTGATTTTTTACAAGTCAATAGAAATATCAACCTGTACTCCTGCAGCTACTTTTTGTCAGATTTAATGTACCCTTAAACATGGTATAAACAAAACGCATAGCTTCAAACGCTTATGTTTTCAATATATTCATTACAAATCAAGTATACTGAAAATAATGACTCGAAAAAAAAATTAAAAAATGAACAAACGACAAATGGTCAAATACAGTAAAGATCTAAAAACCACTAACCGTAACCTTGTTGATATTTTGCTTTAAACAATCAATCAAGAATTCTGTAATCTAACTGCGGAAATTTACCCAAAGGAACTTACTGTAAATGAATCTAATGCAGACTACTCATTGAAGTACAAAGCCGCTGATAAGTCTAATTCGGTAGGTCACGTTTGGGGAAAAGGAGGACGGGATTGTGGTTACGACGATTGGAAGATATCCGTCGTCATCAGTGAAACAGATATTCCATAACGGTCCACCAACTCGTGATGGCGTCCGTAAAATTTTCGAAGGGATGATTGCAACTTGTAACTCTTGGTTTTATAGCTTCCTTTCGAGCAACATGTAAATGTACATATCTTTTATTTAGTTTTTATGATCCCAAATATTTCACGTGTTTGTCTTTCTAACTTTTAATGTTTAACTCACATAACGCAGACATACGTGTTGTAAAATGTGAAATAACTTGCTTAGTTTTCATAGACATTTGTTATACATCTTTTTAGATTGAACACCATTAGAATCCTCCCTTGTGTATTATTTTGTTGTTTTGTCGTAATCTTGTTGTGAACAGAAGATAAAAGTATTTTATTGTATTAACTAAATGTATCTTTTTTGGAGTTTCAAGTTTTCAGTTCTAAACGTTCTTTATCCCAAAACTCGTGTCATGACCACAGGAATGTTTACCACCTCTCCCACCCCAAAACCCTATTGGTTATTTCTTTGTTTGGGGTTTGGGGTGGGTGTGGGTGGGGGTGGTAAACATTTTAATTTTCAGGGAATTTACAAAAATATAATAATAATAAAACGATAAAATTCTATATGATTTGAATATTTAAAGCACAGCAAACAAAATGAAATAGTTATTATCAGCTTACTTATAAATATAACATATTTACAATAACTTCCTGTATCAACTGAATATATCAATATTTGAAACATGTAGCTATCATAAAATATTGTAATTAATTAGGACAAAGCCTTTTTAAAGACTTAATTATATTCATCGAATAAAAATCTATTTTCTGTCCGTATATTAAATACCCACGCCTTTTAACCGTAACTTTTATTAATTAATACATTTATTGCATGATAAGTCACGTATATTGATATATAAAAGAACGAGTCGAACTACATATACAGTTTTTACATCTACATAGCATCTTTTAGAATTTTACAGTATCATGCAATGAATTTTTTCATGTTTTCTCATTTTGAAAAAAAAAATCTTGTTGAGTTACATAGACCACTATTTATGACTTTTTCGTCTGTATCTCTAAGCTAGAAGTATTTATTTTTACTAATCAAGATAAAATAGTCTTAGTTATATCAAGAGGCAACTTCACTTTTATAGCCATGACACCCAATACCAACTAACCATCCCATCCAATAATTCGTGATTACTTTATCCTTTTAAAAGATGCTGCCACCCCTTTTCACAAATGATATCTTTATCTTTTATTCAATATGTTATAAATGTACGACCTGTGCGTTCCAATTATGTCGTCCAATGTTTATTTTATATCACAAATACAAACTATTGCTCATAACTTGTAAGTTGATTTCCAGTCCGACAATCAAAACTAAGCTTAGTAGAGGTATTTAGATCTGTATGATTTTCGATGTTCTGATATTTGCCTTACAGTAAAATTTACTTTATTGGTAGTTCTTGCTTCAAATGTTACACATGCTTTCCATGAAATGTCATAAAAAATTAAAACAACACTTTATAATTTTCATGCGTCCGAAGCGATTTTCTGGATTTACCTTCAGCAGGAACGCTCAAAGCCGAATATTTGAAAGCCAAGGATGTATAAGAACCAAAACAGTTGCAGAGCTATATGACAAAACAGGACCTAAAAATGTTAGCCAAATCCGTCTAAGGTCAACTTTGCCCAAGGGAGTTGAAACCTTAGTTTCTTAAGAATTTATGAATTTATAAACGGACAATTTAAGAAAGATTTGTTATAAATCATGTCCGTACCGAAGTACTGACTACTGAGCTGATGGTACCCTCGGGGACTGATAGTCCATAAGCAGAAGTATTGACCCAGTGCCTAAAAAATGAATGCAGCTCTTTATAAATTTCTGGATTTACCTTCATCAGGAACGCTCAAAGCCGAATATTTGAAAGCGAATGATATAGAACAGCAAATTATCATATCTTTTATTATTTTTTTAATCCAAATACCAGTATTCAAAAATCCTTTATATAAATAAAGAAGATGAAACCTATACCTCTTGATCTTTAGAAACATAGAAGGGCTCAACATTAAAAATGCATGACTTTTTTGTCCGACTTCATCCTAATATTCTATAAACATGTAATCATAAATGATACGAAATTATTTCATTTGCATGGTCATTAAATAGACGGCTTCCAGCTTGAATCAATGACGAACGTGATGACTTTAGTTTTCTCGTTGTCAACTTTTCATTCCTCAACATTAACATTCCCTCTGTCCCATCACGCAACGTTTACATAACTCAATTGATACATTATGCTCGTGCATGTTCAAACTATTTGGACTTCACTAGAAGAGTTGGGCTTCCCACACGAAAACTGCTCCAATAGGGTTATGAGGAGCATAGACTGAAATCGACACTACGGTACGTTTTACGAATTAGTTGACCGATGTGTAAGTGTCTCAATCCAATAGCGACATATTTTTCACGGTCTTAGATCTTCATATACCAGAATAGTCGTCTGAGCTGTAAAATTAAGCCGGTCTCGCTCATTTGGAGTTAATGCGATTCCCTCATGTTTTGTTGTATGATATGAATTGATTTAAAATTTGCAGTACGTCTTTGACTGCAGAACAATTTATACACTAGTAACAAGCTATATTTGATTATATCTTAACAAATAGATTTAACAGAACATTAAAAAATCAAATTTCACTCCGATATTTTTTTTCAATCTGGTATGTAGGAATTATCCAGTAATGATGGTTTCTTCTATGTGTTCAAACTTACCATTTGTACAAAAACACTTTGCCGATGTGCTTTACTTTTTTTAAGAGTAACTGTTGATCAGTTATGCTTGTCCACTTCCCTTGATTTATCAGGGAAATATGAATTATGTAAACCTTCGCCGAACTTTATTTTTGAAGTTGATCTCAATCTATCATTGTTTTACGTTTAAAAAATTGGAGTAACTGACTCTGCTTCGCTACCTGTTCATTAACGTTTCATTCTAACAATGGATAAAAAAATATAATACATTAGTGTGTGAGAAATACGTTCAAAGTGGGTTTTCTACATTCTTGTTTACTTTGTTGAAAATTAAACATTTAAATATCCCGGAAACGGCTTCTGTGATTTCACAATGTTGTCCCTGGAATTGGCGATCAAAAAGGGCGTTTCGTATCATATTGCATTAGAATCCCAAATTAACGATCACAACTCAGGTATTTCTAGATTCTATCATTCATTCGGCTAATAAAAACTGGAAAGTATGTATAAGTCGGAATACCAAAGACCTATAAAAATAAAGAGATGTGGTACGACTGCAAATGAGACAACTATCCAACAAAGTCCAAATGAAGTGAATGTAAGCAATTATAGGCAACCGTACGGCCTACGTTGATTTCCTTATATTCTAACCGCTTCGGTCTTCTTGTGTTAGCATGCTTGCCAAAATTGCGAGAGGTCCTTGGTTCGAATCCTGGTCAATAAAAAGGTGTATTTGTCTGGTTGGCCAAGTGTCAGAATAATGGTTCATTGTAGGGCTGCATGTTTTCCTGCGGACTGTTACTTTGTGAAGTATCACGTTAATAGTCTGGCTCAGTGCATAAATCGTCATTAACATGTTTTCGTCTGGATATGCATGTTATATTTGCCACCGGACTTTTAAAACAATCCATCCATTCTATTGCAGATACATACTGAAGGTTACAGACAGGTTAGCTAAGTGTGTCGACTCTTTTTTTTTTTAACTTACTAAGGTGAAGCACAATTTTGTTTATAATTCAACAAAGCAATTTTTTTAATACTAAATAAAAAAAGATAACAACTATGCTACATATTTTTTGAAGCGATGATGAGCCAATGACTTACTATCTCATGTGTCTTGTTTCCTGGAATTAGTTAAACAAACAATGTAGGAGTCTGAAAAAACTAGCACACTCCTGAATTGATTAAGACCTTGATTGATAAAACATAAAAAAAGTGTCATTACGCCCTCTCTAGGACAAAGCACCGAAAGCACCTCCCCTAAGGTTCGTGACACAAGGATAACATTTCTAGTTAATATTTTATAACTTCAGCTACACATGAACAGCACTCATCCCAATAATCAATACACGTCAACTCTGATAGCAGAATTTTAATTATTAAAATGATAGCAATATCATAGTAAATTATTAAAACCTTATTATGTTGTTTTGAACATTTATATCATGTATGCGCTGTCAACGAAACACATATTTGGCGGAAATCAATCGATTTTAATTTCATCTAAAATGCGATGTAAAAAGAATCGCTTGTGGTCATAATGGTATTGTCTCATAAGCCGCTTAATTGGAAAGTAAAGTAAGGCAGGATATTTGGTTAGGTTTTCTTTAACTGTTCTTCTTAAGGATGTATGTTGGAAATCATGCACGCCATTGATTAGCGTGATACAATTTTGCTAAAATGATTTGATTAAATTGGATACTCGTGTTGGAAAATTATCTGTTGATTGTAGTAGAAAATGGGAAATTGCAACTGCAGGAAGAAACAAATTATTGATGAAAAAGAAGATACAGGTAAACAAACGCATTTAATTTCAATATACTTTATTTTCAGGACTGTTTTTTTTATTTGATTATTTTAAGATTTTAGAATTTTAAACATATAATCATTGAAGGAATTCTTGAAGCGATATAATATAATGTGTTCATATTTGATGTCATTCTATGTTCTAAGTTATAACTACATATATATATCTTTAAGAAATGCGTTACGTGTTTGTTGTCGCTTTATTTTTGTGATGAATTCATATAGTAACCAATTCTTAAATTACAAACATACTTAATGAAACCGAAAAATTTAACAGCCAATTTATAAGAAATTGACCTGACATGAAAAGTTGGATTGTTTCTGCCACTTATCAATTATTTTCAGATAAACACGGCTTAACATCGACATTTTTGAATTGTAAGCCGAAATGCTATAAAATGTTGAATATTGCTACAAAAACGTTGCGTTTATGCGTCCCTACATGACCGTAATAGTACCACAACAGACCATTAAACATTCTAACAATGTGATCGTTCTTAATTATAAATATGGAGCATTCATTTCTCATGCAATCTGTTGCTATTTTCGGATTAAGCTTCGTATAGAGTACTTAATTTAAGATTATGCCATTAATTACTTAAACACCTTACCTTCTCTGAAGATATAAGAATTGAATATTGAAGTCAGTGTGTGTGTCACTTCAACTTCATTATCAAAATAATTCATGCAGTCTTTTACGTTCACGTTATAAACTTAGTTCACGAGTAATGATGTTGATTCTGCCAAACATCTTGCTTACAAAATATGACTAAAACATTACATTTTGAATCTTAAAAACGCCGATTCATTTATAAATAATTCTTTAAGAGATATGTCTATGAAAATTATGATTTTGCACCAAAAAATTGTCCAATAAATTCCTTTTGCGTTTATATGTATCTTTACATTTAAAAAAATATAAAATAATTCCTTATACTTAAGAGACAAGATACAAGTAATCACTTTATCAAAAGCAGTATCATCTCACAACGTAATAATTTTGCATACTATGGATAACTGGAATTGAACGCTTTAGCATTTAAATGCTTATAAATGTATATAACTGGTCTTTTTCCAAATTATAGTTTTGTAACTTTGATATAAATAAGAAGATGTGGTATGAATGCCAATGAGACAACTCTCCATCCAAGTCACAATGTATAAAAAGTTAACAATGATAGGTCAAAGTACGGCCTTCAACACGAAGCCTTGGCTCACACCAAACAGCAAGCTGTATATCGATTGAAAAATATACGGTCGTTTAGTCGATATATGGGCCTTTCTTTTACGTTAGGGGAATCAACTCCTATAGAGCTACTTTTATCCCATACCTTACAATAACACTAACCCTAACCTAGAAATAACCTTACCCTAACACTAACCATAAATAAACCCATACCCTAAAGCACAGGGAAGAAATCCGAAAAGAATCAAGAAAAATTTTGATTTATAAATGTCATTCAAATAGTTCTGCCAAGTCATAAATGAGTGTAGTCTCGTTAGCAGGGCAAAGGACTGTAAAAGAACCCAATATCCTGAATAATTTAAAAGGTAAAAAAACTAGAATGTCACTTGATTTTAAAATTATTTTGGCATTTAGACAATAATTAACATGCTTTGAAACTCTATGAACATTTGTCAATGGAAACACATGTACCAAGGCACCTACTTATTTTCTATGTTAAATAAGTTGTATCTGTGATGACAATTTTATTGAATTAAGTGTATCAGAAAGATTAATCTAAGTTTTCACTGCACTACCATGGATCAAAGTATTAGAGCCAGGTTCAGTACAGTCTTACAACTATCCAAATATATATCAGGCGTACAAGTAACCACTAAAGAAGTATAATACAGATACTAATTCTTATTTTCCGTATCCCTATTTTTAGTTTTTTTTTAATATTTATATATGATTTTTTCCATTTAATTGATTTTAGTCTACTTTTCTATTTTACATGGTTTTGAAAATGTTAAAGAATTCTACGGAAAATTGAAAAACTAAATATAAAAAAAATGGTAAGTAAAAGTATATGCAACGTCAATTGGATAGAAATTACAGGTGTTGTCTACTGGTAACATTGCGGTTCAGTTTAATACAGATTGAATATAAAATAAGGAGATGTATGATTACCATGCTGCTTTTTTTACCAATTTGTCATGCCCCGAATGTGTGTGTAACTTTCTTTACACCATTAACTTGGTTTTATAAGAAATAAAGAACCTTGACGAATTAAACATAATTCAAATGACTATGCAAGAACATTGTTATATTTCCTGATGTTTTGAAATAAAGATGATTGAAAGATTCTTAGTGAAAGACAAAACATATCTACTGGAAATGTTTGAGTTAGTATTCACGTGCAGTTGGAATTATCTCATTTGACATATCATATAAACCTTTAATATGGAAAGATAAGTAAGTTCATAACGTATGAAACTAGAGCTGACCTATAAAAATATCTATGCTTGTCTCATCATACAGGGCATATAACCAAATCCTACCTCAGATTTTTAATATAATCCTACTTAAAAATAACTTATTTTTTTCTTCAATATTTTAAAGGTCATTACTAGAAAGAAAAAATATGTAATCATCAATCATATATACTTAAATATAACCATCCCAGATACAAATTGAAATATAATCTAACAATGTTTCATCTTAATGTCCCTTATAAGGGTTTTATGTTTGAATGTTGCTTCATGCAAAATAAGTATTATGGCGCAATATTAATCCTTACAAAAACAGTGTTATGCAATTTTCTTCTGATACTTCAATGTGATAACAACCTGAAGCAGAACGTAAGACATCGATTATTGATAATATCTGAGTTCACTGCGTCATACAAAGACATTAAGAATTTAAGTCATGATAATTTTCTAATACCACTTACCTAATTACTGACTCTTGGAATCTTTACACGCAAAAAAATACAATTTCTTAAGAAATCAACAAGGGACATTACGATAATCTAATAATAAATAATTAAGATAAATGAGCACTTAAATCTAATCGTGAAATGCACATCACAGTTTTAATATTCTCTGTTCGATTGCAGAGTATCTCTGGTTTGATTGCAACACGTGACCAGTGTTTTAAAATTTTTTTTTTTATATATATACGACTAGCTAGCAGCATAATTTCACACTAAATTACCGAGTTAAATGAAGGTGTTTCACCTTTTCCTACACTGTATCAGTCTTTTGAGAAGCTTGCTTAATAATAATGTCTTTTTCGATTTTAGTACATGTGGAAAACACTTTCTTCTTTTTTGTTTGATTACCCAGAATTTCAATCTATCTTGTGTTATTGCAAAATTGGTGTGTTATAATCAGAAACCATACAATCGACATTGACCATTTTGTTAAAAATGAGTGAAAAGAATTATACAAATTTAAAGTCCCAATTATCCTCTACAAAAATTACTGTTTTTATACTAATCCACATTTTTTTGTTATAAATTCCCTTTTCAACTGATTTTTATAGCTTGTTCATATGTTGTACTGCTACACCACTGTCCCATGTTTAGGGGGAGGGGGACGCCCGCTAACATGTTTACCCCGCCACATTCTGTATGTGCCTGTACTAATCAAAAGCCTGTAATTCAGAGGTTGTCGTTTGTTGCTGTATATCATATTTGTATTTCGTTCATTGTTTTTACACAAATCAGGCTGTTAGTTTTCTCATTTGAATCGTTTTACATTGTCCTTTCGGGGCCTTTTATAGCTGACTCTGTGGGTTTTGCTCATTGTTGAAGACCGTACGGTGACCTATAAGTGTTAACTTCTATGTCGTTTGTCATCTGGTGGAGAGTTGTCTCATTGGCAATTATACCACGTCTTCTTATTTTTATATTTAAGACGACGTCAGAGAATTCAGTCCCCGGTAAACAGAATGTGTGATGTATCCGCAAAATATGTCTTATCTTTCAAATTCATTGGTTTCTGACACATAGTAAGAAGAAGCTAACATAAATTATATTTTGCGTAGCTATTTGAATTAGAAAACAATATTTCGTAATACTGTTAAATCCTTTTGATGTGTAATTGAGTATAACGGATTTGCATTTTTTTTATTCTACAGATATTTTAATAGATGACGGTTTACCAAAAATAGAAAATAATGTCTATTATGTATATCGTTTATGGTAACATTGCGTCATAAGAAGTCATTAATAATTCATTGAGTTTTAAATATATTATTGTGTTACTTATCTAATTATGGACATTTCGAAAAGTTCATTTGCAACGAAACAACCATCTCTAAAATGGCAATAACTCAAAAAGTAATAAATAATTCAAGACAATAAGAAAAACTCTCGTACTTTTAGAACATGTTTTTTTATTATGATTTGGTATCCAGAATTTATGGTGCTTCAAGTTTTGTTGGAAAAACTTTCTTTTTTTGGTCGTCGTATCTGTTCAAAAGATTGAAGAATACATAAGCTTAAAGATGATATTGCTGAAACATAAGGAAATCTAGTATGATGGAGACAATTATCAAAATCTAATTAAAGAAATGTAACGATAAACAATATACTGCCTTCAATAATGGACAAAGTTACATATCGTAAAGATACCTATAAGTGATCCATTGTAAAGCAAATATGAAAATTTCAAAGTAAGCAACCATAGTTTTATGTAAGAAAAAAGAATGAACACGAAACGAAGACAGCAACTACGAAACAGACTCATGACCTTAAAGAGTCCATCGATCAAGTGTGTGTGTATGTTTATATGTGTTCTTTTATATCCTGTAACTAGGGTAGTGATGTAACAGCCATTGATTGACAGAAACATTTATTGAAGTGATTTTCTTTATTCTGAAATACAACAGTCGTGTTACTTTTTCTCGGCATTGAAGACATGTTTGATCGTATACTGATGTGGTACAGATCATTTTTGTTCTTTGCTGTTTTAAAACTTAGGAAATCAATCAAAATTAAGGAATGTGTCCCCCTCATGTGTAAATCTGATTACTTGT